TGATGCATACCATTTATTTTTAATTATTGCTATTTTTATTTTTCTCTATTTTTCTTTCCCACAAATAACTTCTATGTGTCGTTTCTCTTGTTAGTGTTTGTCAGAAAATGTGTTACGAGTAGTACATAGAATTTATAATAAGCATCTGCTTGTCTTTATTTGAAAACATGTTATGAGCAGTATATTGGATGCATGTATCATATATATATCTATTTGTCTTTTATCTGAAAATGTGTTTCGTGCAGTACATAGGATGTAGTATATCTAACTACTTGTCTCTACTTAAAACGTAATTTGAGCAGTATATATAGGATGTATCACACATACATATGTACCCACTCAAATTTCCATCTCAATCTTTCTTTGCTCCAGGTATGCCTCTTGCTGGTTGTCGTCAGAACCCACCACCGATATACTAATCAATCTTTTGGGAACTAATGTTTCCTGACCCAACAAATAAAAGTTACCGTGCAGCACTTAATTGTCAATCTTAAATACAAGTGCTTTTGACCATATACAAGCTGAGAATATACTCTTCTCCAAGAGAAGTTACTGAAGCATGCATAAGAAGCGGGACAATAACTCTAATTATCCCAAAAGCTAAATCCTCGGGTTCTCAAATCTGCTTGTTAAATTCATCTGTGCCTTCTCTCTGGTACAAGTTCTTCAAAATGTGTAAGAGAAGTTCCATCAACGAGATACTTTCCTTTCCACCTTTAGCTACTCCAAGGATATCAAGAAGGAAAACAAGAGTGAGGGAAACTGTAGCAATAGGTTTCTACCCCTTAAAATGTTCGTGGAAGAACTTCAGCCTATTTAACCCTGAAGAAGACATGTCGTCCAAAGTTTTAGTTCTCTTGAAGATGAAGGACCAGATGTTCCTGCCAGTGGCCGAGCACTGGCTCATCCTTTCAGTAGCAATCAACTTGGGTTGCTATTTAAGCTCATGTATGACGAACATTTATGTCGAGCTTTCCATTAAGCTCATGTTATTTTAGCTTCCGTCATGCATTAGCTTAAATAGCAACCGCAAGTTGATTGCTACAGCCTACAGAAACAATGAGCCAATGCCGTGCCACTAGCAGGAACATCTGGTCCTTCATCTTCAGGAGAACTGATTTGGACGGCATGTTTTCTTCAGGTCAGATAGGCTGAAGTTCTTCCAGGAGGATTTGAAGTGATGAAAACCTGTTGCTACATTCTCCCTCACACTTGTTTTTTTCCTTCTCGATATCCTTGGAACGGCTAAAGGTGGAAAGAAAGGTAGCCTCTTGACGGAACTTCTCTTCCACATTTTGAAGAACTTGTGCCATCGAGAGGGCATCCGTGGCTTTGACAAGCTGAGGTGATAACCTGAGGATTTAGCTTTAGGAGAATCAGAGCCACTCTCCTGGTTTCTGATGCACGCTTCAATAACTCCTCTAGGAGAAGAATCATCATGTTTCTCACCTTGAGGCAGAAGCTGAGGATGAAAGAGAAGTAGAAAACTTATTAGAACCTCCAAATGAGGCCTTGGCCCAATGATACAGATCCAGAGCTCTACTACCATTAGGAGTTGATTTATCTGTAGGTATAGTACTAACATTTATCACACTTCATTGACATTCTCCTGTTATTTGTTAGTACTTAATATCTTTTGGTAATACTTGGTTTATACTATTTTACCAAAATGATCTGCCTACAACAGGTAAGGAAAGATCAAAAAGGGAAAATGAAGATACATATTGAGACAATTCAAAATTTATTAATCGCATATTCACATTGTTGTTCTTAAAAGTAGCTAATAAAAACCTTAATATCTTGCTAACAAACAAAAGGGCGATGAGTTATCGCTGATCAGGGTCATCCACAGTATCACAACACTATGAGTATATTATGATGTACAATCATTGCATGGAATCGCTGTCATCATTTGTTTTTGATGAAAAAATCCCATGTTTCCATCTACTGGAGGATTTATTAAACTTTAGTGGGTTGAAGTTGAGGAATAACATATAAAGAGAAACTTTAAGTGTGAAAAAGTTTGTATGCTGAATATGAAGCAGAAAGACAATCTTTTTGTCCTTCCAATTGTCATTTCTCCAAATTCACAAATTATTAACTGTTAAACTATGGAACTACAAATGTGTCATGCTAAACTTATATTTTTACTTCATATTCTGAAAGACAAGTATAAATAGAATAATACAACTATAACATATTCGCCTGTCAATTTTAGTTCTCGCCTTTGCAATGAGATCCTGATAAGTTCTGAATTGTTGAGACCTCTTATGGGCATGCTCATGAGTCTTGAGCTTGTTTTCACGTGATCCAGCTTTCGCCAATGCTTTATCATCATATGAATTTGATCATGTCTCGCTCGGGTTGATTGTAGGTAGGCCATTAAAGTTCAAGCATTTGAAACTTAGAAAGGGGCTTAACCTTTGGAAGTTTAAAGAATTGCCTGATGTGTTTCCTAAAAAAGCATAAGTGAATGATTTTCTGAAAGAATTAATCATGGCAGAGAAGAGGGCTTGTGCAGCGATAAGGGAGATTTTTGGAATCATATTCGAGAGAAGGACCTTGGTGGATCACTTGACGCATATATGGAGAATTTGGCTTGTCATACAAATTGTCAACAATGCTGATAATGCATCCTGAGTTGTTCTGTATGATAGTTTGAAGGGGTAAAGAGATTCTGTCTTTCTACTTGAATACTATAATGATATACGCTCGCTATTGGAGAAGGTTGAAATATTGGTCATAAAATATGAGCTGATGAATCTAGGCAGGGAGGGGAAAATACTGAGGAGACAAAGGAGGAAAGCTTTTGCAGAAGTTGATATGAATGACTCTTTCAACAACAAAAGTGATTTGCATCCTTCAAATATTGATGAGGTTGAAGACAATGATTATGAAAGTCTTAGATAACTTGTTTGAATCAGAATATTAGTTCAAATGAATATGATGATGAAGATTTTTGTGATGAGGATAGTTCTAATAGAAGACCAAAGATGAGACTAGTCTCCAGTGAAGTGCTTATGATTTTTGATAATCTGAAATCTCATAAATCTCATTAACACATGTAGTTGGCTATTTACTACTTTTACAGAAGAGGAAGAAATGAAACCTTCTCGTATGTATTAGATTATGAATGTAAATCAACAATTTAAGTAACTGTCCATTCTGTAACTTTAATGAGATAAATTTTCAGCATATATATAGCAAAAATTTCTGAATAAAAGAATTACAAAGGGGTCAATCAATGACCAATAAAAACAAACTCTAGGAACTTAAGGACAAACTGTAGGATTCTCTATGAACTTTGTTCCTGTGATGGCAAGACAGAAGATCTACAAATTGGACAAGTATTCTTCCCCTTCAACAGCCATTGCTTAATGCAACTTCCGTGATATTCATGTCCACATTCAAGTGTACCAATTATCTCATCATTTACATATTCACCTTGACAAATAACACATATTTCTCCTTCTTCATCAGCAGTCATCACTGTCTCTTCTGAATTAGCTTCAACCCTAGAAGTCGAACCACAGTAGGTTCGCGTTCTCATGCATTTTGCTATAATATCCTCCTCTTCTGCCTCCGCCGCCTGCTGTCCACTGAAAGGACTAATGAAGTTAATGATATCTTGGTCTTGTATTCTGTTTAAAATATGATTTAGAGCAGTTACATAAGCATGGATGAATTCACTTTCAGTTGTGGCAGAAACACCATTATTGGATTCTCCTTGAGTAGTGACATAAACACCATCAATGAAATCAGTTATTGGCACAAAATAGTTACCCCCCAAGTATGGATCCTCAATGTGATTAAACGAACTCTGAGCAGAGTTGTGAAACAAGTTATGTGGAGCAAAGCGATCACTAACGTTTCTTGATTGCGAGAAATTCCTGAAACCATGATGATAATTTGCAAGATCAGTAGCGACATAGACATCATCAACGTATTCACTTGTTGGCTGATAATTATACGGCAAATATGGATCCTCGCTGTGATCAAACGTTGTCTGTCTATTATTATATGTATGACTAGGAGCAGTAAAAGCAGAGCCGTGGAACAAGTTATGTGGAGCAAAGTGATCCCTAGTATTTCTTGGAAATACGAAACCATCTGGAATTTGCGAGCGATTTCTTGAAACATTGTAATTTGCCGGAGCTTGACGATGATAGTGGGGTTGTTGGGAAAGATGACGACTTTGCCAATTTGTAGCCATGATAATGGAACAGACTATTTCTGAATTTTGGTGAGTGATAGCCAATGTGTACTAATATATATAAGTAGCTGAAATCCTTTAGTTCCTGGGACTAGGATTTTAATGTTTCCTAAAGTAGCGTAAGTCCTATAGTTACTAGGATTAGGATTTTAATGTTTCCTAAAGTAGCGTAAATCTTATAGTTCTAGGATTGTAAGTCCTATTGTTCCTACAACTAAAGCAAAATATAGAAATACAGAAAAATAAAATGCTCTTGTTGATTGTTGAGAGTCAAACTCATATCTTCGGTAACTAAGCGGACCCTCTAACCAACTGAGCTATGAGAATGTATTGTTCTCTTGTTTCAGTTCAAAATAATTAATCTCTTGTTTTATCAATTTGCTATAAAATTCAACTATAGCTAAGAATGATAAATATACTAAAAATATAGCTAAATATAATATAAATATTTGATGTATTACGTAATTTTTCCTAAAAACAAAGAGCTCCTGGAAGATTTGTAAATAAATTAATATTATAACCAAATATTTCAACTTGCGGGCTTCCAAACTCAAGCTTACGGTTTTTTAAAATTTGTTGTTTTCCTATCGTAAAATATTACAGTTAGTGATTTCTCTAATGAATACTATTAAACAGATCGATCAAACACATTTAAAAATTTTAAGTTAAAAAATTTATACTAGGATTTATAATTTAAAACATTTTATTTATGCTCCATTTGGACTTCTTTTTTATTCTTCTTCAATTTGGACTCAAACTTGTATTAGGAGAAGTTTTGGGACCAAATATGGATTTCTTTTATTTCTTTTATTATGGATTTCTTTGCTTCCTTGCTCTCCCTGAAACCAAAAGCTTATTCTCCCGCCATTCACCTGCCGGAACTCCGCCGGCAATGGAATTCTCGGACGAGTGGAAGTCTCTTTGGCCAATATCTTCATCCTATTCGCCACCACTTCTACTATCAAATTATTCACACGAAGAAAAATCCTCCTCAAAACGACGTCGTATTGATAGTCCAATTGGCCCTTTGATTTTCAAGCCATGTGCGGAAACCCTAAGACTACTCCTCCGGTCGCCATTGTTATCAACTCGGCTTCCTCCTCCAGTTCCTGAGTTTTCTCTACCAAGATTTCTACAAACTTCAAGTAGTACACTTCCTTCTACAGCTTCTTCAATTGCTACACAGTTTATTACTCCACAGGTTTCTGAATCAATTCACAACTTTAATGCAATCCAATTGGTCCATTGCCCTAATATTTGTGAAACTAACAAACCCAATTCGGTTCTTGGATTTTTTCCAACCGGGGAAAATTATGACCAAGTTGGGTATTTTATACTATGTTTTGAGGATAAACAAGTTGTGGTTAAGAAATTTAAGAATGGGAAATCTTTGTTAGTGCATAATCACAAGTTGAATTGTAGGATTTTGAGGTTATTAGTGAACCCAGTTACTGTTAGTGAAATTGATGATAGTGCTTGTTTATCTACTTTTGGGTATTTATTGGTTTGTACTTTGTATTCTGTTCATTGGTATAGTGTGAAGATGGGGGTTAAAGGTGTTGGCAGTGTTACAGTTGATTACGTGGGTAGTGCTGATAGAAACTTGTTTAAGGGTTGTGCTGTTTCTCATGCTTGTTGGAGTCCACATTTGAGAGAACAGTGTGTTGTGTTGTTGGAAAATGGGAACTTGTACTTGTTTGATATGGATTCTTGCCTGAGGAGTCGGACTTTGTTTGCTTGTGATGTATTGCAAGGGAAGAAATTGCAGGTTTTGTGGGATAAGTTGGATAGAGATGGAGAGTGGCTAAGCTGTGAATTTAGCTGGCATCCGAAGATTTTGATTGTTGCGAATTCAAGGGCTGTGTTTTTGGTGGATTTGAGGTCGGAGAAGGGCAAAGTCTGCACCTTGCTAAAGATTGAGGCAGTGTCCTTGGGTAAAACTGATAGATTTCTTGCACTCTCTAGAGTGGAGTCTGACCCCTTTTGTTTTGCT